CCTCTTCAAGCAAAGTGTCAGGAGACCAAAGTGAACTGGTTCATTTAGGCTCATGTGATAGAGGTTTGGATGAGCAGCAGAAGATTTTCTGGTTTCAAATCGGGCCTCGGCAGTCTGGAGTTTGGAATTATTTCTTGGTCCTATTAATAATTAAATATTTACTTTAAAGCAGTTATATGTGGAATAAAATCTAAACTGTAACCACCACAGTTATGAGCAAAGAGCTTCGACAAAACATTTCACTATGCTGTAGTCTTAGTAGTTATTTCACTTCATCTTTCTGTTTCCAGTGCAACATCCTCTTCTCTGCACTCCGTCACAAGCTGCGGCTGTTCACAGGCTTCAGGCGTCGGGTGGTGGTGGTGTTTCCCTCAGGCAACGAGTGGAAAAGGCGACTGTCGCAGCACCAGATGAGAGACGGTGAACACATCCCAGAGACCGCCCTGCTCAAATTACAAGGTTTACCTACATTTGTAATATTATGTTACATTACAGGTCTATATTAGGGGATCAAAAACAAAACATGAATTTGTTTCATATGTTCCATTTGGTCTCTACAGTAATCCCTGTAAATTTACACTGAGGAATGGGTTCAGATTCTTCTTGGTTAAATCCGTGAATCCTTCAGGAAGAAAGGTTCTTCCTCTCATTACTCGGTTTATTGATATCATTTAAGGTCTCAGATGTGCTGGGAGCCACATAGAGTTTATAAAAGATCTTTACAGCTGGTGCTGCTGACAGTTAAAATAAACAGCAGTCATTCCTGTAATACTTTCCTCTCTCTGTCCAGTGAGCTGCAGTCTTCCAGAGCAGCAGGATGACCTCCTGGAGGAGTTGCAGTATGTCGAGCTGCCACAGGAAAAGGCGCTAAAGCTCCTGCAGGAGTATAAAGATGAGGCCCGCAGACTGCTACCCCCCGTCCCCAAACATGAGAAGACACGGCGACTTTACAGGAAAAGACCCCACCCTCACGGTCCTCCATCCTCTCACAGGAGCGGCATGCAGACATGGAGTCAGCCGCCAAGATACGTGAGTGCCAACCTGGCTCATTTCTCTCTAAAAGCACAGCTGCATTTGCTAGATGTTAAATTAATTTTGTGTCATTCACATTTCAGTGGAGCGTGCCTTATCAGGATCAGGGGTATTACTACAGCGCGTACCAGAACTACTCATGAGCGAACCTGGAGCAAGAGGACTCGAATAATGCTGCTGCATTACCAGTGATTACATAACACCAACACTGCTGAGGTTTTATTATATGGAACTGCACACTCCCTGCTCAAACATAATCAGTGTCATATTTTATCTTTTATGAAAAGACATGGACACTTTAGGTTTTTATTCAAAATATTTTAATACATTTTTACTTGTTCTTGCTGTACAGTGTATAAATGAATTACACAGTACTGAATTATGAGTAACCTGTAAATAAAACCCCAAACTTCAATCAGTCTGTTTTTTTGTGCGCATGTGGTGGTGTCAACTTGGCATCGCCTCGTCCGCGTTGGTCTGGAACTACGTCAGGTTTAACAGTCTGATAAAGCAGCACGGCTCCTTTAGCTGACGGACAAAGCTCCGACCACAGAGGGCTGCTTCTGTCCAGCTGCAAAACGTCCTACAGTGTGCAAAATACAACTGTGTGAGAAAGTGTTTGCCCCCTTCCTAATTTCCTGTTTTGTTTTGGAGTTTTGTTGCATTTAAATGCTCCAGATCATCAAATAAATTTAAATATTAGACAAAAAGGTAAGTAAACCTACATGGCTCTGTGTGAAAATAGTGATTGCCCCCATATCTGTTCTATCATAAATTAACTGGTATATCACAACTTTGGAAAGCTGAGTTCAATTTCTCTAGCCACACCCGGTTCTGATGTAATCACCTTAACGAGAAACATCTTCATTTAGAAACTGCATTTACTTGTGCCGTCTTTGTCTAACATTTAAATTTGTTTGATGATCTGAATCATTTAAGTGTGACAAACATATAAAAAAATAGGAAATCAGCAAACACTTTTTCACACTACTGTATATAAAAAGGCAGAATTGCCTTATATGCTTGTAATCTCTCCATAAAGTGATGATTGTACTTTGTTCCCTACTGCAGACGCAAGTACAAGAATCTCGTTTTGGTGTTGTTCTGCAGGTATTTGTATGTCTGTAACATCTCACCGTTCTGCTGACAAAGACGACCTCTGTGGACTCGCTGGCCTCCACTCCTCCTTTCCAGTACAACTTTCTCACTTCATCAGAACTTAAGGAGCAACTGAAAGCACACAGATTAAAATTTATATCTTTATAGAGCCATTCAAACCACATTTATTATTTCACGATGCTTGATTTAGGATTGTGTGCAGCTTTATGCTACCCTTCTTAACCTCAGCTGGGCAAATCTGGTTAGATAATTGAGACCTAATCTAATAGTAACTTTAACTTTGGACTTCATTTTGTATGACACCTTTTTATAGGCTTGCCATCATGTGATGTCATCTTTTATGGTCTCTCAGTTGTCTTCATTATTACTTCTGTTCCTTTACTTTTAGTCTTTCACTGGTGTGCATTTTTTATTGTTTCTATTTTAACTCTATTAACTTTACTCATCTCAAGCCCAAATATCTAACTTTTATATGGGGCAGTAAAACTGTTTTTTCTTCTTAATACTGAACTTGTTTAACTCCAAGAGAATTATTTGTAATAGGAGTGAGATTCCAGTTACAAATGGATTTCAAGAATAAAAAGAAAAGTTTAAAGAAGGTTTAGATTCCCTAAACATACATATAACACATCATGTAGTCTTACAGCCTAAATGTATATTTGTTTAAGCCTCATTGCAGTTATTTGCAGTCAGTGCTCCTGAATGTGCTTTTAATTCAGTCAGCTCAGGAAATTGCAGTTTTTTTCTACTCCTAGGTCTGTATGATGTCAAAGAGAGAGGGTAGCCCTAATATAGTCATCTCACTCTGGCTGTGACCAGAAGCCTCACCCACTCATGTTCTGTTTACCAGAGGCAGCCAATCAGAAAAAGGTTGCAGGGGATTATTTTGAACTGTGACTCATACAAAGCTACTTCAATAGTCCACATGGAAAACTACGCAGTCTTTAGTAGTGGAGATGTGGTCATCGTGATGATTTTATCTTTATAAAATGTTTCGCCATACTTTCATTTTCTGAGCAACTTTCACTGACACACCTACTTCAAGAAATCTGTGCTGCAGGTTTCACAGTATGGATTAAAACTGAAGCGACGACTACCTGACGTAAAACTCGGCACTCGGTCTTCCAGCGCTGGTGTGATTCAGAGCGACGCCCATCAGGACGGGCGGTCCTAGGGAGCTCAGAGGAATATTCACCTGGGACAGAACAGTAAAATTAATAATATTAATATTTTAGCCCTTTCATTACTTCGACAAAACAGCTGGTGCAAAGTTTTATTAAAGAAAAGTGACTGTGTGAATACTGCTTTAGGCATAAAATCCTTGTTTTACACTGTGATGTCGTGAGGTCCCATGTGTAGGATCTGACCTAACAATTTTCCACTTCATAAAAAAACTTGGTAAATTTTCTGATGTGTGGATCAAATATTAGGGCTGAGTCAAACTGTGGTGCCAAGTTTCTGGAAGCTGGTTTCACTTTGTGGGGCCTATGACATGCATGATTGAACAAGAATTCTGATTTTGAGGTATTTCACTGAAGGAAATCTGCTGACACCATTTAGACTCTTTAAAAAGAGTTGCTAGCAGGCTTCTGGCGGTAAGTATACGTGCATAAACGTGAAACACGACATTACAATTCTGAATAAAAAGAATACAAACAGAAAAGGAAAAGGAATGACTTTTCACCTCATCTCTGATCTCGGCGCACACAGAGGAGAAAAGCTCTGAGACGATGGCCTCTGGCTTCCTCTCCATCATGGCTATGCCGATCTGCTCCTCACACACCCTCTGTCCTAGACGCTCACACACAGCCTGAGGACAACAGGGTTGATATGAGCAACACATCAAGCATTTTGGTGAGACTGAATCCTCTTTATTCATATCACCTTTGGCTCTGGGTGGCCTCCGGGGATATCCAGGAGCCCTCCCGCCTCTGCCACCTTTTGGCTCCTCCTGATCATGACCACCTGACCATTGCTGGTGCACAGTATGGCACCGACACCTAGAGGCTGAGCCAGCAGCATCAGAGGATCTCCGAACTCGGCCTCACCACGCTGTCGCAGCTTGGCCACCCCACACGACCAGTTTGTCCCCAGGTAGTCCTTGTAGCACGTGAGGCCTAACCTCAGAGAGAGGAGGGGTGCAGGGTGTGGAGGAAGTTTGTCTGCAATGCCATTAAACTCTCTGTAGTCATGATTAGAGGCACCCTCAGCATTTTCTGTCTGACTTATACACCTGTTATGTATTTCACCCAAATCCCTCTGTCCTTGATTGATTTGGTCCTCTGTGTGGTGGAAAATGGTGCCATGGGACAACGGAGTGGAAGGTGGATTTTGTGGATCTGCTAAGCAGAAAGAATGTAGCCTGAATTTTGCCCCGTTGAAAAGCCACGGCTCCTTGGACACCCGCTTCGTCCACACCTCATCTATGTGACGCTCCAGAGCCAGATCTGTCTGCCTGTTAAACCTGAGAGAGGAGGAATTGATTTTACATGACGTGTGATGAAAAGTATTTAAAGGATGTACTGCACTGTATGTTTGCACCTTTCTGAAAGCTCCACTTGTACTTGAGACTCGAGCAGCCCATGCCAGTGTGCACAGTGCAGCAGCACAGACACCTCAGGGTCCATCATTTCCCACTGCGGCTCTTCACTGGAAGCATCAGTTACTTGATCCAAGCTGTGTTCTTTGAGAAGACTTGGAGGTGGGATGGTTTGAGATGTTAAGATGGTTGCTGGAAGTGATAAGAATGAGCAGGATTAGAAATGAGTCTATCAGAGGGACAGTTCAGGTTGAACACTTTGAAGACAAAATCAGAGAGGCAAGGCTGAGATCTTTTGGACATGTTGGACAAAGGATGCTGAAGATGGATCTGCCTTGAAGTAAGGAAAAAAGAAAGACCATGGAGAAGAGTAATAGAGCGAAGGAGGACATGCAGAGGGTTGGTGTGATAGAAGAGCGTGTTGGGGATAGGGTGAGATAATCATCTGTGGTGACCCATAAAGGGAACAGCCAAAAGAAGAAGAAAATGTGAGCTGTTTCAGCTGAAGCTTTAAACCTTAAGGCCCATGAAGGCATCAAATCAAGTGAGGTGATCAACTCTGTGCAGGTTAATAAGTCCACTCCTGTTATACAAAGACACACATCAAGTGCACCCACATATAAGAGATTAGAGCAGGCAAATAAATCTGACCATGGATAAGGTTAATGGAAGCACAACATCAAATTATTAAAAAAAGATTTCTAAATATATTAGAAATTTGTTACTATCATGGCAGTAACTACCTTTAAAATGCATGATTTTTTAAATAGACACAAAATAATTGACCAAAATAACTGATTTAACTAAATAAACTAAGCAGCCCTAATGTTTGCATAAATGCAGGTCCAGGTGAGCTGTAAGTATACTGCAGTCATCCTCTAATTCAATAAAGTATTCTGATTCTGATTCAGGGGGATATAATGACAATTTCAACAGGGCCCGTGGGATCATGACAGCATTGGGTGCAGTGGCATAACCAAAAACGGGAGGACAACTTCTTTAAGGCGTCAACAGTTTGTTCAATGCAGATTTGTCAGCGAGGTTGAAAAGGAGAACAGACACATTTAAAAACGTGACATTCAAAAACAAGACCGCTCAGCGTCAATTTACTCACATAAAAGCTCCTGATTTGTTACTGCTAATGAAGTTATTCTTTATTTACTTACCAGTAGCTCCCAATTTTTTCCACCATCGGACTAAAAACAGTCAAAAACTTTCAATGAACCGGAGAGCTGGAAAGGAATTAAATAGGAAGTGCGACTTCCTGATAAAATAAACGTCTAACATAAAGACTCCTGTGTTCTCGTTTACTCTAAGATAATATTGTCTGGTTGATTTTCTATGAAACCAAATAAGGACAAACGTTTTGTGGCTTGTTTACCTGTCGTTTCCGAGGTAGGCGAAGAAGAAGCCAAACCAGCGAAAGGTGGTTTCTTCCTCTTTTCCCACGAACGGCAAAAATTTGCTTCTTATCACCACCTAGCGGCAAAGAGTGTAAATAATAATAATGTTATATTGTCAGGAAGATATGGAAAAAAATTGACAGATGTGGAAAAAAATATTAATTTTGTGCATATTTCTACAATGTAAATTATATTTATGAATTATAGTTATAAGACAAACTTATTTTAATATTAATTATAATCCAATTCAATCCAACTTTATTTATAAAGCACTTTAAAATAGCCAGCACAGGACCAAAGTGCTGTACAGTAAATAAATAAATAATGTAGTGCTGTCCAAAAGTCCTCAGCAAC